CAGTGTTAAATACACTAAAAATACTTCCTTGTTTGTACAATCGGAACGGTGTCTGGAGCAAGCAGACAGCATTCTTGCTCATAGAATAGCAGTGGTGCAGACGTCCTGTGCTCCTGTGCTGCCTGCGTAAGTCCGGTATTTATAGCGCTTTGCACGGGCTCTTCCTGGACAGATTGTTCAAACAGGGGCAGCAAGAAAGAAGCCTCCAGGTCTCCAACGTTTTCGCCGCTGCAATGAGATTGCATTGATTGAGAATTCCCACTAGATGGCGCACTCTCCACAAAGTCAGACTGAAGGGAGGAAAAAAAATGCCATCTTTAAGGGTCTCTTTTTTATTTACGGTTCTTCAAATGATTTACCTTTTCTGCGTCTCCTGGCTGTTTTTCAAGTTTCATTTCAGATTTTTTAAGTGATATTAACATTCCATCTGGGGAATAAATGTAGCTTATGTTCCAGGGAATTGAGTTGTGATGAAAATTAGAAATAGTTACTAATTGCTTATGTTCAACCTACTTTTAACAGCTTTTACGAGTTTAGTCCCGGACCAGCAGGGCTCTGAAATCCAAAGAAGTTATTCCTAATCTCCTTTCATATTGATTAATGATGGAAATGATGGTGGCGCTGCATAATAACATTCTCAGCAAAGGGCAGGTTTTGAATTATACGCTGAGAGCAAGCAATGCTTTGACTCAGCGCGTGTGACCCGCCTCTAACCTTGTGTGTTAGCGCAAGGAAGCTCTGACTCACCGAGTGTTCGAACTTGTGAGCGCTGCCCGGAGTACACCTGTCACAAGACGCTACAGCAATTAACTCTCAGTGAAAGTTCATTTTCTGCTAAGGATTTATTACACACCTTGAGCTGAATCTGAGAAAGTCTCACATAATTAAAAAAAAAAAAACCTCAGGGTGAACTTAAATATTCTTTGTGGATGATTTTTCATGATTTTGTGATATAATAAAATATCTACTCAGCCACGAATTTCAGGCATAAAAAAGCTTGAAGGTGCTCCAGAGACAAAGGTTGGAGGCAGGAGGCATTACGGTCCATTTCTAGCTAATTCTGTGATTAATTATCTATCTGATCGTCGCAGCCGTAATGCATGCAGCTCATGCAGCACTTCCC